GGAAAGTGTTACCCACCCACTCTTATTTCTCTGTATGACATTCTCATCTCACGTGTATTGCCTGAGTTAAATTCCTGAGATCACTTTACATGAGTAACAGGCAACAGACAGGACTCTTCATTGTTGAGCAATGAATTACATTCAGCAAGTCAAATTTGCTGGAATTTTCATGGAGGACCAAGTCTGGGAACTTCTGGAGGGGCTGGACATGTTCAAATCAGCAGGTCCAGATGCTCTTCACCCCTGGGTGTTGAGGGAATTGGCAGGGGTTATCATGGGGCCACTGGCACAGCTTTACGAGCACTCGTGGTGCTCTGGCCAGGTGCCAAACGACTGGAAGAAGGTCAATGTGGTCCCCATCTTTAAAAAAGGGAAGAGGAAGGACCTGGGCAACTATAGGCCTGTTAGTATTACTTCAATCCTGGGGAAGCTCTTTGAGAAGATTATCAAGGAGCACATACATGATGGACCAGCAGCAGGGATGATGCTCAAGGGCAACCAGCATGGTTTCATTAGGGGCAGGTCCTGTCAGATCAACCTGATTGCCTTCTACGATCAGGTCACGAAATCATTGGACGCAGGTGTCGTGGTGGATGTAGTCTTTCTGGCCTTCAGGAAGGCCTTTGACACTGTCTCCCACCCCATCCTCATTAAAAAGCTAAGCGACTGTGGCATTGATGCCTACACAGTGAGATGGATTGCAAATTGGCTGAGGGGTCGTACTCAGAGTGGTGGTGGACGGGTCATATTCGAGTAGGCAGTGGAGTCCCCCAGGGCTCGGTCCTTGGGCCTGCTCTGTTCAATTTCTTTATTAGCGACTTGGACGACGGGGTGAAAAGCACCTAGTTTAAATTCGCAGATGACACCAAGATTTGGGATGAGGTGGGCACACAAGAAGGGAAGGACAGATTACAGCAGGACCTGGACAGGTTACAGGGGTGGGCAAATGAAAATAGGATGGGATTCAATACTGACAAGTGCAGGGTGCTGCACTTAGGCAGTAGGAACCAGTAGCATACCTATATGTTGAGGAACTCCCTTCTCGAAAGCACAGTGGCAGAAAGAGATCTTGGAGTCATTATTGACTCCAAGATGAACATGGGCCGACAATGTGAGGACATGGTCAGTAGGGCTAACTGTACCTTGTCCTGCATCCTCAGATGCATCACAAGCAGGGTCAAGGAGGTGATCCTCCCCCTCTATGCGACACTGGTCAGACCACAGCTGAAGTACTGCTTCCAGTTCTGGATGCTGCACTTCAGGAGGGATGTGGACAGCATTGAGAGGATCCAAAGGAGGGCCACTCGCATGATCTGGGGACAGCAGGGCAGACCCTATGAGGAGAGGCTATGGGACCTTGACCTGTTCAGCCTTCGCAAGAGAAGGCTGAGGGGGCACCTGGTGGCCGTCTATAAACTTACTAGGGGAGGACCAGCGGGGATTGGGAGAGACTTTGTTCCCCTGAGCGCCTCCTGGAGTAACAAGGAATAACGGCCATAAGTTGTTAGGTTTAGACTAGACGTTAGAAGGCACTACTTCACTGTCAGAGCAGCTAGGATCTGGAACCAACTTCCAAGGGAAGTGGTGCTGGCTCCTACCTTGGGGGTCTTTAAGAGGATGGTTGACGTTTACCTAGCTGAG